GTATGGTACACAGTCCAAGTGTGCAAATTTTTTAAAGGATGTTGAAAAAAGGAGAGTACAGAAGAGAGCCACAGAAATTATTCCAGGGCTGGAGAGTGTTTTTATAAGAGATGTTTAGCTTAATTTGCTCAAGAGGATTGAGGTGCAACTCGTTTACATCAGATATCCACGCTCAGTGAGAAAATATCAGGTACCAGAGATTCTCTGATTTAGTGGAGAAAGGGCTAATGGGAACCAGTGACTAAAAACTGAAGTCAGACAAATCTGGTGCTACAAATCTACCACTGTACAGTACTTTAAAATTCACCAACCTTAACTGGAATGCACAGCTCTCAGCACTATGCCCTCCACTCGTGCCATATTGTCTGCTCAGGACTTACATACTTTTTCCATTTGCACCTAAAGCACAACTTTCCTACTCTTTGTTGCAAGGAAAATTAAATTTACTCATGTCAAGTGGACTGAACTCCCAGAAGCCTTTTTGAGATGATTCAGAATTGGTAATGATTGTGGCCTGAACCTAACCCCAGTAAAATGCTGACTGCACACTTAGTACAGAATACTAGAACTTTACCATGATGACCATTGGGACTAATTAAAATGTTAAAACAGGATAATAACAGGAAACATAACAGGAAAGTATACCAAGTGTGTAAGGATATGCTATTGTTTAACTTAAAATATTTTAACTGATAGATTCTAATGTGTTTAGCTAGCATTAATGATGATAGTGTTACTAAGGGGTTAAATAGCCTAAGCAAGTGAAATCGGTGTTCGCTGTTCACTGTATGGATTTCTGAGGGAGAGGTCCACATAGATTTCTAAGGAAAGATCAAGTTTTTGGATGGGAGCGGTGCAACCCAGGAAGCTTTCCCAGGGCAGCCGGCTGTGAGAAGTAACTCCTGCATAACAGCTCTAGGCAGACTGCAAAGTGGTGAAGAGTCACGTTAATGTGCTCAGTCTTTGGTAACCATCTGCTTATATTCTAGCAGTCCCAGTAAAGTTGACTACTTGTATTCTGGCAGTCCCAGCTGATGAATTGCTTTGTGCATAGTAGATGTTTTGTAGTCAATAAAGCTTCTGACTGTTTGTCGGACGAGTGCCAGTGGTTAATCACAGAGCTCCTTGCCCACAGAGAAGTAGGGCTTGATTGAGTTTCAGCCCAACACTCTTGACAATGCCTCATAATTGCTCTTGTCCACTGCTAGTGATCTCTAAATGCTTTATTTAGTCACAGCACCATCTCTTGGAATAACTGTCTACTGTTATTCAGACTAAGAAGTGTTTGGGGTTAGCTTTCCTGGAAGACATTAAAAAAAATTAGGCTATGTGCCTATTGTACAGGCAGTCCTTGGACTTACGACACAATTGGTTCCTGAAAACTGTGTCTTAAGTTGAAACGTTGTAACTTAGAACCAATTTTCTCATAAGAAAGTGTTATAAATTGGGGATTGGTTTCTGAACCAAGGCCCAATACCCTATTTTCACCAAAAATACCCCAGAATTTTGTACTCGATCAATTATAGATGAGTTATATGGCTGCATTAATGTATTTATATTGTAAATAGCAATCATATTGATTTGGAAGGACTTCTTTGAGGTGACTTTGCTGGGCTTTTTGAAAGGCTCTTGGTTGGACTTTTTGAAGGGTTCTTGGCTAGAGTCTTCTCAGGAGTCTTGGCAGCTTTCTTAAAGAAAGTGTCCAAGGAAGTCTAGACAGATGTTCTCCAGGGAGATGGGCAACGCAGCGAACTTGTTCGCTGGCGTGGCATCACATCGGATCAAGTGTTGTAAGTCGAAATGGTGTCAATTTATAAACGCTGTAAGTGCAAAACGTAACTCGAAACGTTGTAAGTCGAGGACTGCCTGTATTCTTAATGGATTAGTGATGAGTGAATCATTCACCTAGCCACACCAATGACTGTCTCGTTTTGATCCATGAAGCACCCTGTGACAGCTACACTGTGTTACTGCAGCTTACAAAGCCCAGGGGATGATAAGTGAGAGCTGGGGAAAAAGAATTCTCAGTTGAGGAGATTCAAGATTTATAGCGCTTTATACAGTGTAAGTGAGAATTGCTTCATGGACTTCCAAATTACAAGTTTCCAGAGGAGATCAATCTCTAAGAAAACTGTCACCAGGGAAGAAGTATGGCCTCATAGCAAAAAGAGTGCAGCTGGACTCAGGAGGCCTCAGGATTCATTTCTCTAGCACTGACTGTTGTGTGACCCTAGGCAAGTTACTTTACCTCTGTGAGCCTCTATTTCTCTTGCTATCCTTTTAAATAGACTGCAAATTCTCAAAGGCAGGGACTGTCTCTTAATGTGTGTATGTACCATGCCAAGCACAATGGTGCCATGATCTTGGTTGGCATCTCTGTATGTTGTTACAAAGAAGTAAGTGGCACTGAGGATTTCCAATATTGTGAAGGCATAGGGAAAGATTCTGAGTTTGTTGAAATGAGGGTGGAGGCACTGCCCACCAGATCTGTTTAATGCCATACTGGTTGTTCCCTTTTACTTAGGCCAGTCTTGCTACTCAATGGGCGTGCCTATGTGTGCATCAAGGTGTTCTTTTCTAATGTACATTAAATTGAGTACCTCCAATGTGAGGTACTAAACAAATGCACATTAAGCTCCCTTAATGGGCAGTAATGAATGCAAACAGTTTAAGTGACACTTAATGCACAGTAGTCTATTTTACTGCGCATTAGCATAATCACATGGTTTTTTACATGACACATTAATGTGCAGTAAAATAGACAACTGTGCATTAAAGTGCATGTGTAGTACCTGTGCCCAGTAAGCACAGGTACTATTCTCCCAATGCTTTTGTCTGACAAATATCAAGCAAAGATCTGTGACTCAGGTGTTCACTGGTAGTACGCTAATGTTAATCTCTCCTTTGTATGGTATTTAAATAATGCACTGATGCATAGAAAGTGATTCAGTCCAGAAGATCTATTGTTTAGAGAAACAGAGGAGAAATCTTACTTGCACAGTGCCTTCAGAAAAGTAACAACTGTCATTCTCATTTTACTAGTTGGTCAATTTAATCAAGGAAAAAGCATGGGGTCTGTATGGTTCTGGAGATCATTAATGAGAAATAGGCTGACAGTTCAAATGTAGTAGAGGCAGGTACACAATGGAAAGTAATTACCAGTGGGCTGTTCTGTGACCTACATGAAATTAGTTTGTTGAATCTTTGCCCAAATTCCTAAAAAAAAAGTTGTTTTATCATAGAAACCACCACCAGAATGAGTGGCCACTGGTAATCCTGTTGGGTAAGAAGACTGAAATTGCCATGGAGACTGAACTCTCCTCCTGTGCCAGGAGATGAACACTCCTTTTCTGCTAGTAGGGCAGTGTGAGCTGCTGCCTGTGCTCTACCTGTCCTGAAGAAACAGAGGATTTATTCTGCAGGGTTTATAATCTGCTGCCTTCTTCTAGCACTTGACATTCACATAAAACCAAAAAGGAAACACAGCTATGCAAAGTCCAAACTCTCAATTGAAGTTAAGAGTGGCACAACAAGCTATAGCAAGGAGCAGCACTGTCATAAGGATATCTATGTCCCTAGTTTGCTGACCCAACATTATCATATTCCAATCTGAGCTATGAGAAATGATTTCTCTTCAATTGAGTGGCAACAGTTTACACCAGGTCTGACCTCCACCTGTTACAGCCAGATGCTGCAAGTCAAAAATCTCAGCTGAGGTACAGTGGCTTAACTTGTATTGCTATGGCTGCTACTCATGCAAAATAACACTCAACACCCTCCCAAAACAGACCATTGCATTACACTGCACACACAATTCCCCACACCCCGTGCCCTCTATCCACCAGATTGGAGAGAAGCTGGTAGGGAAATCAAACCACATGTGCCTGAAGTTAGTCCTGTTACTTAATTCTTGATTGGAGTGCCCTGAAGGCTAAAAATGAGAAGGGCAGTAAAAAAATCTTATGCAGGATCAGAACTTTTAAAAAAACATGGGGAAAAAACCAAAATAGGTTATTTATTTTTTGCAGCTCCTTCTGCTTCAGCATAAACCCCTGGGGCTTGGCACACTATTCTCTTGTTCTCTTAAAATCTCTGGCTTTAAACAAGAGTAAATCTGGAAGAACAGGATGGAGGATCAGGCCCTGGATTTTCCAGGCGTTCAGGCACAACATTTTGCATTCTCTGTTCTTGCCCTACAAGTGACAGCACAGCTCACCAAAAAGCCCATTAAAAGGTCTTTCTCCTACAGACATACTGCAAATTTGCAAGACAGATTTACATAGGAAGGATTATTAAGAAGCAATGAGATAGCTAATTGCTGCCCAAATTCTTTGGAAAGTTGTTAATAAACAACTAGCCAAAAAAACCACAAAAAAACCAAAACAAACCAGCCAGTTAGGGATGACACTAGTTGCAGCTCGGAGAGTCCTGTCACGACTGTGTGCTCCTGAAAGGAACCCAGGGAAAACGGAGGTGAGTTTGGGACTAAGCTAGAAGCTTCTTCTAAGACAGGGTCTCAGCCGGGAGCTAAACAAAGGTCTCCAAGGTTAAATGAGGGGGGATCTGTATCTTGCATCCTCCCTCCTGCCTGGAGGCTTACAGGGAGTTCATGCACGGGAGATGAGACAGGAGTCCTCCCTGTCAGCACTCCTGATGCCAGATCCCCCTGTCCACCTGCAGCCGCTTGGGAAGGATAGGGACGGGTCTGCTCTCACTTCACCGCCCTACCCATCCCGCACAGACTGGGAAGCTCGAGACTCCGTCACTCCCTGCTATAAAACTCACAAGCGAGCTTGCTAAAGTAGCTAGCCACAGACAGAGAGAGCAACCGGCAGTAGCACAACGTCCCGGACCCCGTGGTTTGTGCCCGGGGGCTGCTCCCATGCTCTGAGCATGCAGAGGCAGCAGGCTTGGGCAGGGCTCAGGCACAGAGTGAGGACCGAAGAGGGGGAGCAGTATGAAGCCGGCGTGGAGCTGAACAGCTCGAGGGAAGGGGCGCTATGGACGAGGGAGTGAGGAGCCCAGCCGGCGGGCAGCACCCTGGACAGCGCCCGCGGCCGAGCGCAGCCCGGCTTCAGCACCACGGACAGGGCTCCCGGAGGCCGAATTGTTCCGGCCGCAGCCCGCAGCATGGACGGGAGGCTAAACGTGACCCCGGAGGCTCTCACCAGGCTCCTGCGAGACACAACATGAGCAGGCGGGAGTTCATAGCCGCCTACGGGCTGAAGCCCCTGGTCTACATCCCCGAGCTGCCTCCCGACGCCAAGGTCATCTTCCTGGTCCTCTACCTCCTCATCTTCGTGTTGGCTCTTCTGGGCAACATCATCATCCGAAGGAAAGCCATGAGGACGGCCACCAACATCTTCATCTGCTCCCTGGCTTGCAGCGACCTGCTGGTCACTTTTTTTCTGCATCCCTTTCACCCTGCTGCAGAACATCTCCTCAGAGTGGCTGGGGGGTAAGGGCTGGATTGTCGGTTCTCCACAGTCTTGCTTCTTCAGGACTGGGTGTCCTGCTGCTCCTAGTCACCCGTCACAGCTGGCCCACAGGCTACAAACCAAGAAAACCCTGGTACATTTTGGTCAGCTCATTAGGTGAAGTGGTGGACCATACCCTTCAGTCACTTCGAGATCTCAGCCCCAAATTCAACTTCTCTTTAGGAACTGAGTGGCATTCGTTTAAAATTTGGCAGAATGATTAAAGTTCCTTCCAAATTTTAGCAAAGATGGCTCACAATGGGCTGGGAAGGACTTTCATCCAGGCAGCTGCTTTTTCAAACTGTTACCATGAAGAAAATCCTTAATTGGAGAAAAATAACCCATACTTATTGAACATAGATGTTTTTAAAATTAGTCTAGCTTGTAAAGGATCAGGCTTCTTAACCTTTAGAAAAAAAATTAAGTCTCATACACAATTTCCACACATTTTTGGTATTTTTCCCAATAGCCTGAAATCTCTCAAACTGTATCTCATTTCATTTTCTGCAATCTTTATCTGTTTGTACTGTTCTTTGAGTCTCCTTTTGTGGTTGTGATTAGGTATCTACTGTGTGATATAGGAAAAATTGTTACTAAATGACAAAACAAGTTAAGAGTGTCCATTTTGAAGCATTTTGACAGACTGCATTAGGATTTGATCATTTAAATTAGTTTATGTGACAGGAGGCAGTCCTGGGGCCGGTCCCAGTACCCACCTGCCCACCTGTCAAGGGCAGTCTGCTCGCCTGTCTCTTCTGCCACGCCTTTGATGGAATTAATAAGTTGGTTCTAAGATAGGAGGCTGCCCCTTTATGCCCTAATACTTAGGGTGAACTACACGACTCCAACCTTCCCTTATTGTGTCCCAAGCCTCACAGGTGTTATACTACTGTCTGTCACTTCAGAGTTCCTTTGGCACTAGGGCTCTCTGCACCCCTGTAGCTACGCCCCTCTGACACTAGACTTTGTGCACCTCTGGCACTAGGACTCTCTATACCCCTGTAGCTGCACCCCTCAGGCACGTCTCTCTCTCTGTGCCTGACACTGACCTCTACCCAGATTGGGTGCCCCTTTCTCCAGGTACTAATGAAGCCTCCAACCCTTGCCTTATAGCCTCCTCCCAGTCTTCTGGTTCAAACAAACACAAGGATAAACCCCTAGGCTGTAACATAAATACTAAAGATAAATATAACTCTCTGTCCCTTTAAGAGGACAACCTTCCAACTTTCAGCTAGCATGCCCCCTGTTCCGGGGTATCTGAGAAGCTGCTGGAGTTGTACTGTACTTAGGTAGTCAAACAGGCAACACCAGGTCCCAGGTAACTCCTCATACAGTAACTCCTTCCCATGGCAGTGAGCAGAGAGAGCCTGCTAGCTACCTCCAGCCTGAGCTTTTTGTATCCATAGGGCCCTGCTGCTTTCCCAGCACCTAACTGCCTGCAGGTGGGACCCAATTGCTCCATTAGCCTGTGCCCCAGTAACCCACAGCTGGGAAGCTTTGCTTGGCCCCCAGAGCTCCAGGTCAGGCTGCTTCAACCTTAAAGGAGCAGGCACATCTTAGTGCCCTGCTACAGTGTACATCCTTAGCAACTTCCTGTACAAAAGAAATCATAGCATGCTAGGAATTTAGAGTGATAGCAGAAGGGATACTTCATATGCCATTGAACAATAAGCTGTGTACATATTGCTTGACAAGCATTTAGCCACTGAATCAGCACATCAAGATCTTTGCAAATCACACCAAGGGCACAGAAACAAAGCTTTCATTTGGCAAGGACAACATGTTTTCCTTCATTTGGCAAGGACAACAGGAGAGCTGGCTGTACTTTAAAGAAACCTTACTGAGAGCACAGGAATGAATGACCCAATGTGCAGGAAGAATAGCAATTATGGCAAAAGACCAGCTTGGCTTAGCAGGGAACTCTTCAGTGAACTAAAACACAAAAAGGAAGCTTACAGGAAGTGGAAACTTAGACTAATAACTAGGAAGGAGTATAAGACTATTGCTTGGGCATGCAGGGATGAAATCCAGAAGGCCAAAGTGCAACAGGAGTTGCAGCTAGCAGGGATGTGAAGGGTAACAAGAAGGGTTTCTACAAGTATGTCAGCTACAACAGGAATATCAGGGAAAGTGTGGGTCCCTTACTGAATGGGGGAGGCAACCTAGTGACAGATGATGCAGAAAAGACTGAAGTACTCAATGCCTTTTTCACCACTTTTCACAGGCAAGGTCAGCTCCTAGACCACTGCACCTAGCAGGGGGTTGGACTAGATCTAAGGTCCCTTCCAACCCTCATTTTCTATGATTCTGTGATAGTTCAGTCAGGTTATTGTTGCCTGCAACTGCTACTCCCACAAGTTGTAACACATTTTACCCATTGCCATACATCAAAACTCATCTCTTTGAATGCAGAGGGAAAAAACAGGATTCTCATTGCCAATCTAACCCTTTCAACTGAGATTTTTGCTAGTTAGAACAAAGGTCAAAAATCAGCACCAGTAAAATTGACATTTATCACATATATCAATCGGCATGAACACACACCACTGAGTGGATATGCCATTAGCAAAGCCAAATTCTAATTCATTCTCTTCTGCTGTGTAACCCAGCCATGTTACACATGCCAGAAACACACAACTTGAATCTGTTTTTTTCACCTCAAACTCACTTACGCTCATTGTCCCCAGGGTATTTCCTCATGTTGGCCATGAGAGCATTCATCACCCACTGGTCCACATTCATCTCTATTTGATGCTTACAATGTATTTTGCTATACAAAGGATGTGATTCCCTTCTCATTTGCACCATTGTAACCTGTGCAATCCCACTGACTTCAATTAAGTTGTTCCTCATGTATGCCAGCAGAAATAAGAGACAATCAAACCCCAAGTGATGACTGCCATTCCACTTGTTTGGCTTCAGGAACCATTCATTGTTGGAACTCCACCTTTGCTGTTCTATCCCATTGAGAGAAGCTGAGGTTTTCTGCCTGCTCCCCTATCCCTGCACTGTGGAGCCCCCACACTGAGGCACTCTGTGCCTTGAGACAGGGGAGCAGGCAGCCCTTAGCTGGCTGCTCCCCTGTCTCCACATGCCTCAGCACAAGAGCTCCACTGTAGACACTGGAGGGAAAGGCTAGAAGAGAGAATAGATGCTGTGGTAATGTAGGCTGCAGCTTGAAGAGATGCAAAACACCTGAGTTCAGCATTTCTACCAGTTCTTCCTCTTCAGCAGCTCTTCAGCTCTCTCTCTGCAATTACCTCCTACCCAATTACATATCCAATTAAGAAGCTTCCGTGCAATGCCTTTATTATCAGGTTGCTGCACAGAGGTTTTAGGAAAGCTCACACTGCTACCTCAAACATTTGATGAAAACATTTCCCCTCCTTTCCTTCCTGACCTGTGGATGTGCTCTCGCATCCCGCTGTGCCTTGTTCCAGACAGAACATTTTTATAGTTCTCCCAAGACCAATAAAAAACAAAAAAATCAACCTGTTCTTCCTGCCACACACTGATTTTGGTACTGGTTCACTTATGCAATAGCTCTTCTTTCTGCATTGCCAACAAACTGAGGGCAAATCAGGGGTCTCATGCAAAAATTAAAAGGAATTATAGATCACAGGTCTGGCTCCCCACTACCATCTTCCTTTATACACACACCCAGCAAGCACCAATATAGTTATGTAGAAAGCAAAGTTAAACCCAGTAGAAGTGTTCTGATAACACTTTTGCAACACTATTGCTCTCTAAAATTAATGTCATATTCAGGGAACACACAATACAGCACAACTGTTGGCTTCCCAGAATGCCCACCTCATCCCATTTGAGTGTCTCCCACTACTGACCAGAGCCTGTACCATTTAAGCCAATGGAGGCTTTTCCTTTGACATCCATAGGAGTGAGCTTGCATGATTTCTTAACTGCCCAAGAAAATGTGAGAGTCTCCCACCCTAATCTTATCCCTGCTCTTGCCTAAGGGATAAATTACAAGCCGGGCTCTGTGTCCATGGGCATGAGAAAAAGAGACTCATCCCCATTTATACCTACCTGGACCATTGCTTCAACACACAAGGGTAAGGAACACTGCACACCTGCATACTCCACCTCTGACGCAGATGGGCAGGGAATAGGGCAAGCATGAGAGCCCGACCCAATAAAACAAAGCCAATGCAAGGTGTGCATATGTATGTATATGTCGATATATGTATGTGCACAAGAACTAAACTGTGCTGCTGATTGAGGCCATGAACAAAATTAGAACTCCCCCTTGAGCACAGAGATAAGCACCACACTTCCTCCTCAGAGATGCTCCTGGGGCACGCAGTCCATACTCCGGGACATCAAGGGGCAGCTTACCTCCTTCACAAAAAACAAAGTGAGAAGCTTAAGATGCTCTTCCACATTTCCCCTGGCTTTCCCTGTTTGTTCACCTGCTGCATGGTTTTGGCTCTGGGCACTCTGGGTGCTGGGTTGATCATTCCACTGACATGCAGAAGAGTGTATTAATAAAGCCCTTTTTTTAAAAAAAAAATCTTTTATTCCAGCTTCACACACACACAACATGCCACACAAACCAGAGTCTGCTCTAGGCTGCAGCTCACTTCCCTCTCCCTGACCTGCATTCACAGAGCTCACCATTACAATGTAAATGGGGACCTCTGAAATTCTACCACCCACCTCCAACACCTGAGCATGTCAACCAAAGGGTTTCACAGAGAATGCCCTCCCACTGTATGGTCACCGAGGACCAAGATTTAGGTGGCCTTTAGCTCTCATACGCTGCTGAAAAAATTGGATTAGGTTATTCCATTTCACTCAGTTTTGCAGGCGGTGGGAGAGGGGCCTGAGGCAGTGCAGCTCCGGTCTCTCCCCAGCTCCCGGCACAGAGGTGATAGCAGGGTTCCAGAGCCTGGCACAGC